ATTTTCTTAATCGTAGTTTTATGGTAAATATTAACACTTATTTAGGCTGAAACCCATAAAATTCGTACTTATAGAGAATAAACAGAGATATGATAAATGTGTAATGTACAAATAAAATCATAACAGTAATTCTGTACGTTTATGAAGAATTAAAATTTCATGTACAAGATAAATACCATGGTTTTCAACCAAACTTGTGAGAGAATGCTACTGTTCTTTCTAGAGTGCTATCTTCAGTGGAAACTCTGTCAGGTCTGTAACTAAATGAAAATTACTTTGAAAATATATTAAGCATCAACAATAACTCTAAAAGATTGTTTCTTTTTAACTGCAAAACTTTTAAGGAAAGCATTAGGAAAATATTTGTGGCACTAGAGAACACATCAGTCTGAAGCAGTACAGCCGCTGTGACAGCAGGTGACAGGGAGCTCCCAGCCAGACAAACTGTGCAGCAGAGCAGATGCTGCTCTCACATTGCCTGACCCTGGATCCCGTCCCACCCCTGCAGCAGACCAATTACACTGCAGCTCGGGGTGTGAGCAGGCCTTTGAAGGGAGCATCTGGTTCAGCTAATGTTTTCTCTGCTCGTTAATAACAGGAACAAGCGGCAGTAACTCACGGAACAGCACACGGCCTCGGCAACAAATAATGACCATTATCTCCATGGAGTGATGAAGGTGCCAGAAAATGTCACATGCTTTGGGGTTTATACATGGTCTATACCTCACAAACAGAATACTTTCTGGTGGGAAAGCTTAGATATCTATGAAAAGAACAAAATAGTCCAGCGAAATTCAGGATATAACAGTTAAACAGTCTTCCTTTTTTCTTTCTGTTTTGTTTCCAGAAAATGTCACATGCTTTGGGGTTTATACATGGTCTATACCCCACAAACAGAACACTTTCTGCTGGGAAAGCTTAGATATCTATGAAAAGAGCAGTACAAAATAGTCTAGCGAAATTCAGTATATAACAGTTAAACAGTATTCCTTTTTTCTTTCTGTTTTGTTCGGGTTTTTTAGATGGAAAAAAACCTTTTCATAATCAATCCCATATGAAAAGTTGTGGTAAAGTGTTTATTCTAATTTATTACACACATACATATGCCCTTAGTAAGGGAGCCAAAGTGTCCACAAATTTCTATAAAATTACTTGGTCCCAATAACCCTCAGCTTGCTGTTCCCAGCTGGAAAGACTGTTCTTTTTAATAACCAATTCAATAAACTGCTGAAAAATGCTTTGTATAATATAGTATTGCCATAGATCTGCTGTTTGTCTCTGTCATTACATACTGCATTCAATCAATTTACAAATGTTGCTGTGTTCCTTTTGTGCTAGTTCTTATGGCATCCTGAACACAAATCTAAAGATCAATACCTTGTCTACCGAAAAAAAATGGACATAACTAATGAATAATTTTATTTATAATAAAAAGTTCTAGTCCCCAAATGGATTCTGCTAATGTTGAAATTCATTTTTCATATTTAACACAAGATGAAAACAAGTACCCTGCACAACACCATGAGAAAGGCAGTGATAAAAACCACTACATATTTATTGAAGATCTGAGCAAAATCATGTAAAGCTCTGGTGAAGGGCTGAGAAAATATCAATAAACTGGTAGGTCATTCACAAGGTATTTGTTACCATATTAAAGCACAAAAGGTCCATGCCGAAGAGTAGATGGAATTTGTTTCAAACAGCACCACAGTTCTGCTCTATGGAAGCAGCAAGCTTCTGAATGAAGTAATTCAAGCAAGAAGCCAAGGAGAAGCTGAGCTCATGCTGCTTGCATGAGCTGATTCAGTTCATCTTGTGCCTTTTGTGTGACAGAAACAATGCTTTTGCTGACTATAGACACATCCCTGCACTGCTCCAGCTATTGAATAGCTGCCTCCTCCAAAACAACCACAGAGCTGTTCAAGGGAGCCACAAGTGACTGCTTTTCACAATCACCCTCTACAAAGCAGTGAGCTGACAGAACAGAGAGGAAATAAGGACCCTTGTAAAAAAGGGAATGGGTACCTGTATAAGTTTATCCCAGCAAGCTTCCAGAATACCCATCTACCTCCTCCCCACTCCCAAGCTTACAGCCCAGATGTGCACTGAATACAGTATTTGTGTTCCTACCCAGATTCTTGGCTCCATGACAACGCTAGAAAGTCATCATAAAAGTACAGCCCAAAACCCAGGATCTCATTAATCAACACTGTCCCCAATGCCACGTGCCTTCTGCTCTGATATCAGACAAGGAGAAGGCAAGAGCAGAGCAGATACAGACCCCTGATTATTACAGGTGTTAAGTGACAATGTCTCCAGACAGCCTGTGGTCCAACACCTCTGAGTCTTTGCCTGCTAGGTGACAGCAAAGGGACTGGATCTCCTGAGGGGAACAGGCACTAATCCTGCACCCTGACCACCTGCAGCTCTCCTCTGTCACCTTGTGCCAGAAGAGATCAATGTTTCCTACTGTCCCACACATGTGCACATTGTAGCTTGCACACTGAAGATTCCAGTTTAATGTTGGATATCCCGCACTCAATAATAAGAACCCAGCACCTTCCTAACCAAGAATCTGCAGTAATCACTTGAAGGGATCCCAATCCAAAAGGTTTCTGCGTCTGTGAACTTGGAACCATTGGGCAGAAGTCTAATGGGAAAAATGAGGCACCTCTACCCAGCAACAGGAGAACCCTTTCTTTACTATAAATACTGTACTCTTACTCTACCTAATCTTGGACTGTTAGCACAATTTGCCTTTCAAATCTCAAGCTAAATTCACAGGATTGGCAGCTCAAAATAAACAAAACAAAACTTTGCAATGTGTTAAGTGAACGAGACTGCTTTGGCATTTCTCAAGTCACACTGAACTCCATAAGGCCATTGTGACAGACTTTCTCCCAGAGAATAGTTTTATTTTAAAACTATTACTGCAAATTCATAATTCCAACCCTATGTTCTGTTTCAAGATAAAACTTCAATCTTACTAGTTAATTAAAGCCACCACCTGGAGTGATCTGGCTTTCATACTGATTTCCTTTGTCTCTCTAATTCACATACATTAATATTTTATTTTCTACTGGAAAAAAAAATGTCACATATGTGCCAAAGACAAGGCAGATAAAATTATTGCAATAAAACAAAGAAAATACACTTCTTACTGCCAGGTCTCAAGATGAATGCTGCATTATACAGACACTTTAAAAGGCTTACAACTGCAAATTGCTCTATTTTACATACTGTATTCTAGCCTTTACATCAAGATCTCTCCTAATTTCTCCTTACTGTAATGAGAAAGGAAAAGGGTTGGGTTTTTATTACCTGAACATTTATTCAATGGAGAAACAAAGACTACATTATATATTACAACACAAGCTATTAAAACAATGTGACACTATAAAATACACTGCAATACTCATTATGGGATAACAAAGCTAAACCCTTCGCAAATAAATGTATCTGCCAAAAGTCAGCAATAATTATACAACAAGAGTTTATAATCTTTAATTATTTAAGAAGAAAAGAAGCTTGTAATAATTAAGTTTTATAGACTCCTTAACTTGTCATTACTAGGTGTTCACAAAACTCTAAAACAAGAATGCTTCATCTGAAATACTCTATTTTTAACAACAGATGCAATTGTTCACTTGAGTGATTAATTTTAAAAAAAGTCAAATATTGTTTTTAAAACCTGCACTCACAGAACAGATAAGAGTTTATTTACTCTCTGATCCACACAATGCATACAGCAACTGCTCAGGTACTCGCAGGCCCTGCATCACACAGTGACCAATGTGACACTGTCTTTATATACCTTTGAAATGGTTTTTGTTATGACAGGTCTGTAAATCACCTTGGATTTACATCAGGAATTTCAGAAACTCAAAGATCAGAAAAACTGTTAATTTAATTCATTAAAGTATATTGGTAAGACAGTAATACCTTTAAGGTTTTTATGAAGAATGACTTTGGTACACACAAACACCATTCAAAACATGTGGAGAGAAAAATTCAATATTGAACAATTATAATCTACAGAACTGATGGGAGGAAAGAAATGTTCCATATTTCAGAGGAAATAAATTTTTGGGTTAAAAATATATGTATATTAAAATTCACTTGATTTTAAATTAGGAAAGAAACAACATAAAACTACAAAATTAACAAGAAAACTTTCAATAAACTCCAGACAACTTCCTTTTTTACCCCAACACAGTCATTCTTTGCCAGAGCTCCTACTAAATTTTCATCATGAACATCTATGGAAGAAGAGATCAGTCTTGATTACTTCTGTAAAATTGCACTTTCAGCCACTAAAATCAGCACAAGTTACAGAGCAGCAGAATTTTGACGGGAAAATAACCCACTACACTACAAAATACGTTAAATAGGTACATTGAGCATCTTGTATAATCAAGTTACAATACAATTTCAAACTCAAGAATTTTACTTACACCATGATGCTTCATATTTTCATCACGAAATGTGTGCACTATACAGATGGTTTATTTAATCCATTCCCACCTAAATTAATCAAAGCAATCTGTCCCCACCCAAAAAAAAAAAGTCTTCAAAGTCTTCCTACAGGGTTCTACTGTCATTTGACAAATAGTGTACATTTAGCCAGGAAAAGTTGAAAATCCTCCATAAACAAGTTACCACATCTAAAAATAAGTGACATTATTAAAAGGGAAGCAGGATGTGTTATTTAGCATAATATGGAATTTAAACAGCACCACCTCCAATAGACTTTAAAATGCTTTTAGTAGCACCTGGTTGTTTATATATCTTCTGTGGTGAAAAGGTCAATAGAAACTCACCTCGAAGGTCACAGTTGCTAAGCAACTGTTTTTGGCAGTTCTGCAACACTGCTCAAGCATCTTCTGATCAAGCATCACTGCCTGGATTTGGAATAAACCCATGTCACATCCTACCTGGCCTCCCAAGTTCCCTGAGGGCGTCCTGCTTTTCCCAGGAGAGCAGCAGCAAGGAAAGGATACGTCCTGGCACCACCGGCCTGCGGTTCACCAGAGCAAAGCACAGCTCTGTCCTCAGGAACACCACCGAGGGCTTGATGAGGTGCTGGCCGAATCTCAGCATGGTCAGGGATGATCTTCGGGGCCTGAAAGAGACAATTGTTAAGGTAATTAAAGGACTGACTCTGCCTTTCCAAGCAGTAGGAATAAAACAATCAACCTGTCTATGCAGCTTCTAGCAGAAAGTGCCTCCTGGGCTCATCAAAGCATTGGGTGTCTTGGAATGGTTGATACATCTTCCTTAAAATGATCACGTCTTTGAAGGAATGGTGAAAAAGACTTCTTTCCAAAGCAAAAACTTTACATATAATTTCTTAAAGTCTTCTCTCATCATCTTGGCTGGGCTACAAAATTCGAGGGAAGGCAATTTCTCCCTCCCATTTCCATTTGTCCTGCATTGTAAACATTTGGATCATATGTTCTTGAAAAAGCACAAATAGGATTTCACATTTTTTCTGCCATAATGCAAATCAGTGCACACAGGACTTATGAAATAAACCACAATTTCTTAATCTCTCCATTAAATACCTCAACTGGAGACTACTGGCAAATTGAAGAAAGTTTATTTAGCCATTTTCCATCCACATTCTCTAGCTTGAGCAACTGGAATGTAAAGATGATCACTACCACATTTTCTCTTATAGAAAGTCAAAGAATTCCACTTTCATTCACTAAAATTTTCTCTCTTCGTGACAAGAATGAAAATGCCTCTTAAATAGATACAGCACAGTCTCAGCTGTGTCTATTTTAGGTCTTTAAGCCCTAGAGTATTTAAAGTATTTAATTCAATCAGAAATATCCAAGGTACTGCAGGGTGAAAAATGAAGAAAAGACAAATTTCATGTGACAATACTTCAGACACATCGGAAGCATTATGCTCACATTACGCAGCTTGAACCAAGTGACTAATCAGGAAATTCAGTTTCATATGTTGCCTGAGACAGGGAAATCTCTGCTACAGCCATGGAGGGTCTTCTGTTGCAGTTCTTTTCTTGCAAGATTACTGCATACAGTAAGACCTAAACTTGGTTCTTCATCGAAGAGACGTATTCTGATTTATCATCCCACTTGTGCCACAGCATATATCACAGTTGAGATGGCCACAATACACAGAGTATCACCACACAATTTCAGAAGGCTTTAAACATTCATCCACACAGAGCAACACCATACCTCATGAGAAGGCTGCAAGCATCTTCCCTTCTTGTTCTTCAGGAGAACCTTTCACACCCCTCACATTCATGCACTGCCCCTGTGTGCCCTCTGTTCCCTTTGGTGGTTGGGCACTCCATGGCTCATTGCTGTCAGTGCTGCTCACCTAATTCTCACAGCTGCACCCACTAGGGATGAGGCTGGGCCAGCCCCAATCACCACAAATTCTGTACCTGCACACTTGCACCTGCTCCCATGAGAAAACTACACATAACAACCCCCTCTAAGTGCACACACTTTGAAAATGTCTTTGAGAAATATTTGTTCTAAAGGAACTTCTGGCTTTGTAAGGGTCTGATTCCACAGAAGAACTTGAGGGCAGCAGATACATCTAATCAAGGTTTACACCAGAAAAACATGTATAAATCTTAGTATAAGATACAGTAACAAATAAGATTACTACATTTTCATGTAATAAACATTTTCCAAGTAGGCACCATGTCTTGTGGTTTTTTTTGAAAATCACAGATGAAAGGAAATGCTTGAACAGACCATGGAAGAGTAGAGATTTTAACTATGCCTGTTTCAAAGATTTAAAAAGGCTCTACATCCTTTTCCACATAAAGACAACAGAAGATTAAGTGTCTGAGATGTGTCCCTTAGCATATATTAAACTTGAAAGTTGACAACATACAAAAAACAAGTCTCTTTAGCTACTAGAAGAATTGCTTAGCAGAGAACACACCTGCTATCTTGTGCTGATGCTTGAAAAAATAACTATTAGGAACTTCAATCAATCTGCCTCATTTCTCTTAAGCAGGCCATCAACAACCCCCCATGGGGGTTTTTCATTCCGATTAAAACATGCAATAATGTTTTCACACAATTCAGTAAAGAGACATGGTTCTCTTTGCAATGAAGGAAGTGCTTCTGAAAAAGGAGAGAAACACATTCCATAGCCAGGACTACCCTCCAGTGATGAAATGGTAAGCTGGTGTCTCCAGAAGCTGGAAAATCAAATGTAGCACCTGCCCTTGCACTTGGCAATGCTATGGATAAAAAATCAAAGTACTACTGATGTTCTGCCTTCCAGGACACTGATAAATAAAGGTACTGTCCAGAGGCACGGGACAGACTTAAGCACAGAAACAAGGCTTCAAAATCACAAATGTTAAATGTAAAATATGATGATTTTAAATTTGACTTAAAGAGGGAAAGAAGCTGAGATTTGGTAATCAACTAGAGAAGTCCTCTGGCTGATTGCTGCCATAAGCCAAAACCAGCAAAAAGTAGTGAAATAAGATTGGTGACATTAGGTTGCCTGTACTGTGTTTTCATCATGCACCTACCACATGATATTTACTTATTTAACTACCTGTCTTGTTTTTAGAATACCTAGAAAAATCAGCAAAGTAAAAGCACTAATGTCGTACCTCTCCTTGCAATAGTTTGAAGAATCACATTACAGTCCAAGTAGGTTGATCCAGAATTATTAGAACATTAAAAAATCTCATGCATAGAATTAAAGCATGTATTAAAACTTTTTCTGTTTGTTTACTATGCAAAAATGTATCTGAATAATGTATTTCTATCTCTTGATTCAGACCAAATACATGTGTTTCAAACTAATGTGTCAGTTGTACTGGTTGTGCTGTGTAATATTGCCGACTTCCCAGTGCTACTCTCTCCAATTCTGCAAAGGGATTATGGGAGACTTTTTCTTAAACAATTATTCATTATCTATTATATATTACTTCAGCTGCCTTCTGCCCTAGTGATCCTCTGTGTTTTTCTGCACAGTACAATCATCTGTGCTCAGAACCAACACAAATGCTAAAAAATGCATTAGGGAAATAAGTAATGGGTACAACTGAAATATCCACGACTGTGCAGCCACACAATACAGCAAGGCTGGAATATTCCAGAGTGCTGCCAGGCAGGAAACTGCTACTGGCAGAGCAAGATTTTAGTCACCTGAACTCTACCACTTATTGCTTGCATGGTCTGTAAAGCAGCAGGAACCAATGAGCACAGGTGTGCAAGCACTGGTCATGAGATGCAAACAGTGTGTGCACAAGGCTTCCCAAATCCCAGACTGGAATGACCACACTAAGGCTGTTCCTCCAGGGATTTCTATTTTTCACATAAAGAGGAGGTCAGTGCCATACAAACTAGAAACAACACATAATTGGTGAAAGATGTTTCCCCTTTAATGATGGTAGCCTTTCTAATCCCCAGTAATAAGGAGGACAATTACACAGTAATGTTAGAAAATGAAACAAATCCATTTCTGATTAAATTTCAGCCCAGTTTAACACAGTTTCTATTCTGACTATTCAGATGAAAAGTGTATTTACTCTTCTTCATATTGCAGATATACATTACATTGCCTATTTCATCTGCCTCATTTTCCTAATTAAATTCCCTTCAAGCTGTGTTACTGCAGTTGTAGGTGGGAATACAGTATTAAAGGCTAACACAGCAAGTAGACTAATTTTACAGCCACAACAGACCTCAAATCTGTATAAACCATACTAGGAAAAGGAAAAAAAATTTAAAAATACACTGGAAATCTACATTACAGCCTGAAAAAACAGATTGCTAAAAAAAAAAAATATTGAGATACACTGAAATGTTTTCAAACATTTTTATAGTTTTGTAAAACTTCAGTAGGTGATGCCATGATGATTTTTTGCCTTTTCTTTTATATACCTTTTATGTATTCTCCTTCAGGCTGATAACTTAGCATAGTCCTAAAATTCTGTTAGGCCAGGAGATCAAACACCCTAAAGGCCTTGCAGCTGGAGGCCAGAAAGCCTTATGCTATCTTGAGAAACCAAGGTCCCCTATGGAATACATCCTGTAAACTAAAATTAAGCACATCTAGAAGGGAATACATTGGGACAGGAAGATATCACACTATTCATTCAAGCTTCTCATTGGGGCATCTTTGTTGAATATAGTAATTTGCAATGACTATAAAACTGCAAGCAGGGTCTACTGTGAATGTGCATTTTGGTGCATTCCATCTTGGCCAAATGTTGCACCACAAGGATCCTTAAGAAATACCAAAATAAAAACCCTTTATCCCTTAACCATGCCTGGCTCTTAATTTTAGATCCAAGAAAAAGGTATCACAGGCACATGGCATTTCCCCAGTCTGTATAAGCACTACTCATATATTAAATGTATTTGGTGAGAAGAAATCTGTACATGTCTCACTTTTCCAGATTTATTCAGTTTCAGGGTTAGGGGCTTTGTTTTGCACTTCAGTTTTTAAACAGCATAAGCTGTAGAATAATTTGTGACAAATACACAGTGAGAACTCTGAAGAGAAAATAAGTTCTCTTCTGGACAGAAGGTAAGTTCACCTAAAAACAGGTCCACAGGACATCAAGATGGGTGTCTGCTTGTTACAGGTCATAGCTAAAATCAGAGACCTGGAAAAGTGCTGGAAGTTTGCTGACTACAAGGAGTGATGGCAGCAGCTCTTTAATGTTCTCTTCCTGCTGCCACACACCTCCCCATTGGATGCTTAATTGAGATGGTGTTGGTACTCCAAAATCCTTTTTTTTTTTTAATACAATTACTCCTCCTTAGAACAAGGTGTTGAGATCAGCACCTGCTGGGAACCAACCTCAAGGCTTTTGCTGAGAATCCCCTGAGCACTGTTTTAGGAAAGCTGCACATCTGGCTGTAAAGGGAGAAGATGAGAATGCAAAATGGGCTGCTAACTTAAATGTGTGCATTAAAGGAAACCAATTACAATACCATTATCTCTCTGTGCTAATAGAAAGGACTGTTTTAGAAACACTCCCAGGAGTATTCTTAAATTTTAAAGTTTATTTTACCATATTAACATCACCTCTTCAAAATTTTGACAGGCCCGATTCCAATACTCAATTTCACTGTAAAAACACTGCAAATTTATGTG